CTTCAAATGTGTGTTTAGCTGTTAGCCTTCTTTTTGCTTCACTGCCATATCGCACTAATTTCATGCGTCTTTTCGGAATGTACCAGTTTCCAGGAACATCAGTACATGTAGAGGACCTTCTTTGTGCTGATGGCATCACATCATCTGTGGCTGGTATTTGTGTGCACAACAGATGACTTTACCCTTGGTAGAAAAGCAGTTTTTGCAGAAGTGTCTGAAGATGCCTTCTTTAGTTCAGCTCTTACCAGACAACACATTCTGGAGTGAATGCTGAAGTTTAACAGCAGAAGAAGAAATGGATTAGCTTTTGATATTGTGTAGATTATAGGATATAGCTCAAGGGTACATTTTCATTTGTTGTAGGGAATATTTTTTTTTTGGCAAAATTGCAATAGCAGTATACGTTTGTACAAGTTTTAAGTAAATGTTTCACATAGCTAATCAGTTTGTGGCTCTCAAGACTTCCATTATTTTGCAACATATACATAAAAAAGAAATGCCTTTGTACACATCTGGCAATTACTATAAATTGCAGGAGTTCTTTATAACATAAATGGACCTTCAGACAAGTTTTAACCCCTTCATGACCGAGGCCTTTCCCCCCCCATTTTTTGTTTACATGTTCTAATCCGCATTTTAGGCCTGGAAATTACTTAAAACCCCCAAACATTATATATTTTCTGAAATCCAAGACCCTAAAGAATCAAGCAGTTGCAAATGTTTATGTTGCACGGTATTAGCGCAACTCCTTATCAAACCCCAACATTTTGTAAAAAATGCACTCAAATGCCCCAAAACACAATAAAATACTAATTTGTTTTATAAAATGTATAAGATGAGGTTACAACAAGTAAATAGATACCCAACATGTCCAGGTTAAAAATTGTGTGCATCTGTGAAACTGCTCCAAAATTCGGTACCCCAAAAAGTCCATAGACAACGCTTAAAAAAAAGCCCCCACAGGTCATCAGCTTAGAGATGCGTGTAAATATTGGCCCTAGAATGATTATTCTCACTCCAGCGTGTGCGGCGATACCCAACATGTGTAGCGTGATCGTCGTTTTCATACGTAGGCACACCCGACGCATGTTTTTATTTTATTTAATATACATTTTAAAAAATGTTTTTTTTTAACTTTAATTTGCTATCACATAGGTGGTCTTACACCCCCCATGTAATACTATATCGGCAGTGACAGGTATTCTTTAAGGTGATACTGGGGGTCCAAAAGACCCCTAGTATCACCTTTACACTTGAAATAAGCTATTGAAGTGCAGATTACACTTCAATAGCTCATTGCTGGGCTTCAGGAGCCCACCTCAGGGACCGGAAGTGATTTAATCTGCATCGCTCCCAGTCCCATATTACGGGGAGGTGATTGGTGAATGGAGGTAAAGCCGACAGTCGACTTTACAAATTTAAACAGAGTGCTGGCAGCAAAAGCTGTCGGGAGTCTGTTTAAACGGGCCCGATGCCAGTGACGTACACTGTACGTCACTGGTCATGAAGGGGTTAAAGAGGAACTTTACTCATATCTTCAAAATAACAACAAAGGCACCTTTAGAAGTGTTTAGTAATGACAATCTGCAAACAGATACTTATAGATAATTGCCGGCTTTTTATTGTTTGCATACCTTATTTTTCTTTTCTTCCCCAGTATTCTGACAGTGGCCATTTTAACTAAGGGCAGGTTACTAGAGCTCCCTTCATGTCCAGGAACTCTGGCACATGTGACTAGGACAAGTGACCATGCACATTATCTCAGGGGAGGAAAATGCCTTTCCCTGAGATCTCATGAGATCACAGATGAGATTTCTCAGCAATGCTCTGTTGATGTAACCTTCCCAGGATGCAATGCTTTGGCACATTACATCATTTGTGCCAAAAGTGGAAAAAAAGAATTGTAAGTAAAATAGAAATGTTTGTTTAGCTAATGAATGTAAGGTGATTTCATGTCACCATGCTGTATGCAGAGGCGATTTTTAGTCCTCGGTCATGAAGGGGGGTAAGGGTCCACTTTAAGAAACCTGTCAGGACAGAAATGTGGGAGCTGCCTTTGTATTCCGGGAGGCTGTCATCCTTATTCTTTCTTCACTACTTGGTTGCTGACCTGTAATGAGCATGTTCATATTAAATGTCAGCTTACCTGATATCCTTGTTCCCAACCACTGACTTACTATATAGTGAATCAGGGATAAGAATGACCCATTTTGATCAAAATTGTCAATATGACTAAAAGAGAATATTGAGAAACATCAGAAATTAAATGTATTTTATGTGAAGACGCAGCAGATTCCTGTCCTGAACTGGTCATGTGAATTCACTTAAAAGGCGTCTGTAAGGGGGTTTAAATTAAAGTGACATTAAAGTTAAAAAAAAAATTCCCTCCCCCCCATGTTAATGTTAGCACTTACCTTAAATTATGTCTCTTATTCCGATCTTCTTCTTCTTTCCTGATGTATTCATCTGTCCCTCCAGCGGTGCGGCGGCTCTCTGATCCAGCGCTGGCTGCTCTGTAGCTCCGATCGAGCAGTGTCTGCATGCGGGTGCACGCGTCCATAGACTTACCTTGCGTCTCTGCTCGTCTCTCGGCTGAAAATCGGAACTGCACATGCGCCCGCCCCAAGATCCTTTGCGGCCGTACGAGCAGTTCCTGATTCTCGGTGCGGAAGCGCGCAGCGATAACGAGGTAAGTTTAAACCTAGTTAAAGCTTTTTTTTTTGAACTTCGTGCCTAAATCTACTGCTTGCTAGCAGTAGATATAGGCAAAAAACGGAGGGTTTAGAACCCCTTTAGGACAGAGCCACTGACAGCCACCATGGAGGTGGCTCAGGCTGAAGAGTATGCTTTGCTCTGTATTTTCACAATAGAGCTCACCAGACTGGAGGTCTTAAAGCTCTACAATGTGTGGACCATACTTTCAGGCTCTTTCCTTTTGTGCCTGCTACACATCTTCAGTTTGGGATATTTCAGGTGAACAGAGAATCACTTCAAATACAAACCTCTTTTAAATGTGCTTAGGAATTGACATTCAGTTGCTATTCCACTCAAACATGAAGCCAACAATCACAAAAACCCAAAAAATGTAATTTGCAGAACACACAAAACGGAAGTGGAATGAATATTACACATTTTAGGTGTCTTGCATGTGAAAGTATATCCCACTTATCAAAGCTAGACACAATGATCACATAATCTCTGGCAGCTATCATACATACACAGTGTAGGCAGTAAAAACATATATGCTTTCAAAAGGGTCTTTTTTTTTTAAGTTCAATACATTTTTATTTAAGGCAATTCAAGTGCTAACAGCTGACAGTCAGTAGTGTAGAACAATAATATCAGTATGCACAATAACATATAAACCAGAAATAGAACATCAAATCAAATAAGACATCATGTAAGCAGCATTTAGAGTGTAGAGAGTATATCACTCGGCTGTAGATCCTCAAATCATCTCTGAATTGGTGCTGACACTGTCCTTCCTTCTGGAGAGTGGCTACTTTTGTTCCCCATGGTCCCTGTGTGTGTTGTAAAGTAGCCACCGCTCCGAGCTCACTCCTGCTATGGATTACAATCTCAATACAAATTGGTAAAGTAAGCATGAGATTGGGTTTGGACCAGAAGATAAAAACACCTACTGGCTTTACAAGGCACCCTATTATACTGTATATATGAGGGTGGGTCGAGCCTTTACAGACTCCCTCCAGGCAGCAGGATAGGCCACTGGGTCCATGAACAGTAACATTTAGCTAGGTCATATCAATGGATTATTAGAAATATGAAGGTCCAAAGGCTATATTTATTATGTCCACTATTTCCTGCCAATATCATTTCAACTTCGGGCATCGCCACAGCAGATGTATCAATGAACCTGGATCAAACCCACATTTTGGGCATTTAGAGTCTTCACTGAATCCTATCCTATATAGGAATTCAGGGGTCCTGTATGTTCTATGTACAATATAGAGCTGTGTTAATATATGCGAAGCAGAAGGTGAAACTAATTGGATTGAAAGTAACGCCTCCCTCCATAGGGTATCATCCAGTGGGCCCACATCCAGTTCCCAACCCACTTTATATTTCATGAGAGATTTATTCAATAACTTTGAATACATTTGTGAAATTAACCCTCTCGTCAAAGTTGCATTAAAAAGTTTATCTATATCCATATTTACATTAATGCAAACCTCATGTACGCCTGGATGTACCTTAAGCGCATGCCTCAGTTGTAAATATGTATAAAATTGAACATTGGGTATTAAATAACTTGCTTGTAATTGTTGGAAAGAGCACAAGACACCTTGATCATATATTTGCGCCAATGTCAGAATCCAAATTTTCTTCCACACTCCAAATCCTTGGAGTTTATTTACCTAATATAATACCCCATTATCCCATATTGGAGTATATTTTGTAAACTCAGAAATATCCATTATTGGGCACTCTGTTGGACTAACCCTTTGGGGGTGATTTACTAACCTAAACACACACACACACCAGGTGTGTGTGATTTTCACACAGCAAAACGTATTTATCAACCAAAAAGTCTGTAAAAGCATATTTCCACTAATGCCATATATGGAAAAATCATGCACATGATGCATATATAATGCTGCTTCACAGTTTAGACAAAAATGGTTAGCTCATGCATTTACATTCCTGCATTCATCAACGCAAGCAACATTACATAGAGCTAATTTAAACCACATTACCTTGCAATTCATTGCAGGGCTTTGCACAACACACCTGCTGGGTGTGTACACACTACAAAGGTGTTTCGATTCCTCCCATAGATCATGCTGGGAGGGAACACACTACAGAGGTGTATACACGTTCATGGTGTGTTTAAAAGGTTAGTAAATCAACCCCTTTATGTCAATATTGTGTATACTGACATTGGGTATATTTTTAGTAACTTATTCCACACAGTTATGGTGATGTATGTTTTTCACTTTGTACTTGCGCAGCTAACGTTTTGCATTTTATTTCTTAAACAGATCCAATTGATATTGTGAACGATCCAATCCCCCCTCATGAATATAAGCCAGAGGAGGACCCCAAAATATACAACTCTGTGAAGACCAAAAGAGGCCCCTTGTCTGATGACTGGATAGAGGAACATAGGAATAACCTTGGGGGATACCCCATCATGTGTGCATATAAGCTGTGTAAAGTGGAGTTCCGATATTGGGGCATGCAGTCGAAAATTGAACGATTCATTCATGATGTGGGTAAGTCCAGAAACTGAATCTATACAATGCCAAGATCTACTTTTGTTGGTGCTTGAAGAGTGCAGAACCAGGATTTATGTGCCTCTAGAGCAAATACAAACTTACTAAGGGCCATGCCGAGGGTTGTGAATAAATCAGGGGCTGGACATAAAGAAGGAAAAAAATGAACCCTGCTGCTTGCCATGGTACAAAGCTCAGGCGCAATAATCATTATATGACAGACCTGTTGTCCTGTGTGTGAGGGCACTACAAGTGTCAGCAGGCCCTGTCCATTTAATGGACAGGGCCTGCTGACACATGTAGTGCCCTCACACACAGGGCACCAGGATTTTGCTTTGCATAATACTGAGAGAATTGTTTGCCATTACTAGGGGGCAGAGCCTGGGATTCTAATATATCCTTTAGAATCCCAATAAGAGTTCTAAGGTGTGGTTCTTTGTGGTGATAGCAAGTGCCTGTGTTGGTCTACAGATCATTCCCAGTGCCCATGGTGTCCCTTGGATCCTAGGTTCAAGCTTTACATGGGGCCACAGCTTCTGCCCAATATCATATTTAACCTCTTGCCCTCCTGTCACTAAAATATTCAACTGTCAAAGTATTTGACTGTTGAATAACAGTGGTCTAGCGTGTAGGTGAACATAGTAGTAGATCTGAAGAGTAACATGGGTACAGGCAGATAGCACTGTTATTCATTTTGACACTTGCTATGGAGGTGACGAATGATCTTCTTAATGCATGACTTCCTTTACAAAAAGAAAAATAGATATTCTTTTAGTATATTTTCATTCTTGGGAAAGTTATGATTTTTCCCCCCGTTTTCATGGGAAAGCTGTGCACTCTGAATGACATAGGATATATTCCTACCATCTCTTCTTTTATTTAAAAATCACTGTAAATCTTAACTACACTATGATATTTGGTTTTGCGCCTGTAGACATCAGGTTTACAGTACATTAGAATGTGCACACCTTAGCACGTCTCCAGAAAAGCAAGATCACTTGAATGCACATGCAGGTACCAGTGTAAGCCCATGGGTGCATGCTTGTTTTCTTTAACCTGCTAAAAATAATAGGTGTAGATCTATGCCCTAGTGCAGTAGTGTACTGCAAAATAGTCTTGTACTCCTTTCTTACTAAAACTTAGATGCCCACAATCTGTAGAATAACTTTCCTCAGCAGGTTTCCCCACAATGAGGATATGTTCTGTTTAAAAGCTAGGGGGGCACAGTGCGTGCTCCTAGTTTTAAGACTGCTGTCACTATCAGCCACTGGTCAGCATTAATGACTGAAAACCAATTAGCATGGTAGTTTGATCACCATGACCTGCTGGCGTCATCTGTCACTGTACCTTGTCTCTCCAATCCTCTGGAACTCTTTACCCCAACCTGTCCATCTATCTCCCACCTTGACTGCCTTTAGGCAATCCCTAAAGACTCATCTCTTCAGGGAAGCCTATCCCACCTCAACCTAACCACTGAACCATCACATTCTCAAACAATTCATCCCCACACAGCTACCTCCTCATGAATCACTGGCCTCTCCCTTTTAGATTGTAAGCTCTCAGGGGCAGGGCCCTCCTTACCATCTTGTCTTGAATTGTATTGTGATTGTAATGTCTTCCTTATATTGTAAAGTGCTACTCAAACTGTTAGCGTTATATAAATCCTTTATTATTATAATAATATTAATACCTTACACAGGGAGCGGCACAGTAAAGTCAGCAGGTTACAGCTGTCAAAGGACATTAAATTGTTTAATAAACAAAATGAATTGTAAAAATTATCAAAAACTGTTGTGTAAAAAAAAAAAAATGTTTGTTATCCCAAAATTAAAAAAAAAAGCATGAGCAGAATATTTATTAAAACACTGTAAAAGATTTATGTATTTAGAAAAATAATGCAAAAATTATTTAGGTAGGCAGATTAGTTAGTTATTGTGAAGTTAACCAAAGCATCATGAAATGGCAACAAGTGTAAGATTAATGCTACTCAAGAAACATAACTGTGCTCAATCCAGAAATGTTTACAGTTACACTAGGTTGAGCATTGTTTTGAGAACACACCAAAAAATATTATGATAGGCATGTATACACATGCGAGGTGTTGGGAGCTTGGCATTTCCTAACCTACATGTTCACTGGCTCTTGAACAGGAGTTTCTAATTTGTAATTTACAAACTCTTAACCAAGAGTTCCAGGAAAGTGATGTACAGATAACCATAGACTTGCAGTGGAGAACAGCTTGCTAGATGAGTTCAGATGAAAATGTGAGACACCATGCAAGTAGACGGTTCCCTGTTGCTGGAATGGAAATGTTACACCTTTGATTGGAGTATATCTTTAACATCTGAAAAATAAAACCTGAGTGAAAAGAAGCAGTATCTGAAGCTGCTGAACGTGTAATCTCTTTATCCCCTTAGTGTTTGCTTATTTAATGAATGTAACAACGTGAAGAGCCTTGTTTTCCTGAGCTGAAAATAATGAAAAACCTGGTTCTTCAGATGTAAAAAAAAAAACAAGCTTGGGAACATAACAGAAACTAGACAGCTATCTAAGGGCCAGTGTCTACTGCAGGTCAAATGTACCTGCAATGAATTCTAAATCATCTCAGAAGCTTCTCAAAATGATGTCAAATGGACTCAGCATTTTCACATCAAGGCCGGTCGACACAGGCCCTAAGTTTGTTTGGTGAATGTATTGACCTAGGGTTTATTCACACCAAATGCTTTTGGGCTGCACTGACTGCTTTTTCCAGCACAATCTCCAACACTAGACAAGGCAATTTACCTGGTCACATATGGGCTCAGTTCACACCACTGTGTTGTGGTGTGCAATAACAGCACATTTTTTTGTATATTACTGATGTCTGTCAGCTCCACTAGGGTTGCCACCGTTTCTTCAAGCAAAACCCGAACACTCTCGTGGCACTAGTGAACACTCCAGTGCTGCTTCATCAGCTTCTTTGGGGTCCCTAGGTGACATTAGGGGCCTGAAAGACCCCTGATATCTCCCATAGGACCTGTTATGTCCTAATTGCTATTACATATGGGCCTGTTAGTCCCCTACGTGATAGCAATAAAGTTAAGTGTAAAAAAAAAACATTTTTTTAAAGTCCCCACGTACACACCCATACAAACGCAAACACGTGTCAGGTGCGCCCCTAAGTGCAAAAACGAATATTGCACCACACATGTTACATATCGCCGTGAACGTCGGCGTGAGAGCAATAATTCTAGAGCCATCAATCACTGTTAACACTAAACTTATGAACAGTAAAAGCTTTTAAAGCATTGTCTATGGGAAATTTGGGGTATTGTAGTTTTTTGGGGTCTCACGTCCGCACGCAATTTTAAGACTTGACATGTTTGGTATCTAATTACCCGACATGACCCCGTCTTTTAAACTTTACCAAAAAATTGGGTATTATATTCTGTTTCTGTACACTAAATTTTATGTAAAGTTTAACTTCCCAGGCATAGCTTAGCTAGTTTGTCTCTTGCTGATACCCATCTCATGTCAATACCAGTCTCCTCATCCATCATCTGGGGTGCTGGTCCCAGCCTGTTTGTCTTCCAGTGCTGAACTCCTGAAATTGAGGCAGTGATGAGGTGAGCTCGTGCCTGGTAGATGGACAGACTCCTGGGTTGCATGTCCCCTGTCTAGGTGTGTCTGGATGGAGGTGCAACATTTCATGTGTTCCCAGGAAAGGTAAACACTGCCCAGGGAAACCATACAGAGTAGCAGCTTCCTCCTCACACATGCAGGAACAGCAGGACCCTGTGGTTGCCCCTGTCTGCCTGCATCTTGTGTCTGGTTTTCAGCTCACTTGAAAACTGGGCACAAGATTTCAACCTGTACTGCCCGGGTGTGTACTGGACAAATTTATGGGCATTCCTATGGGGGAGCTACAGCACTGTAGCCACCCCCCCCCCCCCCCCTTCCACCCCCC